TTTCTCCACCCTGGCCAGCGTCGATCTCGTTCGTTCTTTTATTTATCGCAAAGTTCTCGATCCGGGTATTTGGATTAAATTCGCATATGGATGTGCAAATATAGCGTCACTCTTCCAACATCCTGTCTTGTCTATGTGAATTTATTTTACTAGGATAAATTAACCTAAAATGATAAGCTCAGGTTCGAATCACACCGAAATCAATTCTGCTTACGACTACGAACATTGCGTGTTGCCACGCGAATTCTTTTCGCGGCGGGCGAACGACGCCTACTCTCGGCAACTCCTTCGTTGCCAATGTGCTCACCACAAAAAGTGCAGCTGGATGCGCGCCTCTTCATCCGAGCGCTCCTTCAGATTGGGAGAGCTCTGTCTTCTTCCCGAGACGAACTACATCCAATACAGTCGTCAGACGGTTCGTCATCATCGGCAGCAGTTTCTGGGCTACTGGAGTTAGATGTATTGTCTAGTCGCTAGTGATACCGGCCTTAGCCTTTCCAACCGTTCGATTTCTTCTGACGAGCCACTGGTGTTCCTAAATGGCACACGCGCTCCCGAAAAAGGGCGCAAGTTTTTTTTACGTGATGAGGGGTACCATCAACAAACACCGAGTGAGGACAGTTGATTCCTGTCATCTGGTCAATTCTAGACTTACTCATACACCTGATGTGCGGGATTCTGACCCATACAGTATCCCCCACACGGAACTCTCCCTGGATATCTTACATTTCGGGGTTGGCCACTGGATCAATATCCTGTACCTGGAAATTGTAGGTATGTATGACTTTGGTCGGCGCTGTGAAGGTTGAGATGCCGTCCTTTGGCGTAACCGCCTTTGTTATGGAACATCGTTTCCTAGTCGCAATTGTTTGTTTGTACATTTCTGTGGCTTCTCTCAACTATACGGTTTCTCGTCCGCTGGTTCATAGGCAAACCGGAATCGAAGATGTATACTCCAGTCACGCAGGAACTACCGAAAGTGTTGGTCGGTAGATGCGGTACCGTTGTCAGTCAACGGATTACTCAACGGGTGAGCCACACTCATAAAATATGGACTTCAGCTGGCGTACGACACTTGCCGACTCAGGGGACGTCAATCAATAAGTGTAAGATAGTGGCCACTGCCATAATAAGTGACATCCACTCCTAACCTGCTCCAATTGACCTTCACGTCAAGTCTTTCTTTTCGCCAGTGTACAGGCGCAGGATCAATTGACTGGCACGCCTCACACGTCTTCATTGTCATTCGTACATCGGCTTTTGAAACAGTCGGGGCTTTCCGTTTGGCAAAAACGTGCGTTTTACTTTTATTCCAGGGTGTCCGCTCCGTTGATGGATATGTACTGTTTGCTGAATAATATTTCACCTCTGAAGGGACATGGGTGTAATAGTAAAAAAAAAAATATCAAAAATGTGGAAACATAAAAAACAAAGAAGAAATAAAAATAAAACGAAACATTCACACGTCACTTGTGAAGCAAGTTTTGTGCCGTTTAGAGTACTCTCCCTTACTTTGAAACTCTCCGATGAATGTATTTTCTATAACATGTGTGGTGATGCCGCTTGTGGTTATGGTATAATTTGAATTTCGAAGGTTGCTTTTTTTTTTTTCATTTTGCTTGTTAATGAAATTGAATGTTGTTAACCGTGTGTAACGATACAACTTGATGTTTTTGAAACTTACATAAACAGAATTGTAAAAAGACGTGATGAACGTAAAGATTTCAACGTTCTTTAGCATTTGCTATGGTAATTGGACGTCGTTGGATGTTTAATTAAACTTTAATTAAAGTAATCTTGGCAATTGCAATGTGATTTCCCAATTTCTTGTTTAAATGAATGATTCTCCTATCGTATGTTTATCAATGACATCGTTTAAAAAACGAATAAATAATCAACTCTCGAAACTCTATGCTTGTAAAAACTTTTTTTTTTTTTTTTTTTTTTAGATTTTATTTGTAATATATTCTGTAGTTCTATTTTATTTTTTTAAGATTAACATTTTCTGTAAGTTTCGGTTAATTATTATTTTATCGATTATTAATAACACAGGTATTTCCATTTTCGTTTTTCAATTCATACTAAATGTGACACTGATTTATCTTCCTTGGATCGGACGTAAATTTTTGTGAACAAGTCTCCTATTCCGAGTCCTCGGTAGAGAATTCATTGTTTGAAATCACTTGAAGCAATAGCACAACAAAATCAAACGAAAAATAACTGCAAAGCCAAGAATTATTTCCATCTTCTTATGAGAGGAGTAGGATTCTTCCTGAAGTTAAAACAAGATCATTTTATTTTCACTGATGAGATTATTGACCTTTAAACCCTCTAAATTGAAATTTATTCGTACATTCTTTTTTCTTTTCACAGAGATACATTTTATTTTTATTTCACCTTCAGTTTTTACTTAGTTGAAAATAAATGCATTTTTTGTGGGTCCGGTAACTTAACTTTTCCATGTGACAAGTGAAATCGACGAACTGAGTTCAAATTTCCACCGAGGTTTTAACGTTCACTTTCGCGCAAATGCTCTTGAGAAAGACATCGACCTTCTCCTCTAAAAAAATGAAAAATCTTTCTTGAAACTTTAAAGCTTCAAGAATTATTTTAAAATTGTAGATTAAAAAGACGTTTATATTGTATTCATGTAATTTTATTAAAATTATCTCCCTCATACATAAATTAGCCAAACATCAGGCTGTCGATAAATGTGTCAACACCACATAAAAAAAAAACCCACATCCCTGCTAAAAAATGCTTTGCAATATTTTAAACTAAAAGTAAGTAATATTTGTTTGAATTCAGATTAATTAAACTTTAAATCAGCTAATTTTTCAGAAAAAGTATATTTTATTTTTGAAAGAGATTTTTAATAACGAAAATTTTATTGTGATGACAGATTTGGGCGATTTTAGCAATTTTACTGGTAATCAAAAAAAAAAAAAAAATTTGTAAAGCCGCTTGTTGAGGAAATGTTAGAAAATTATCAATAAATTTTAAATATACTATTAGTTTTTTTGTGTATTATTTAATATTACTGTTGAACAATTTAAGAAATTTTAATGTTAAGGATAAAATTACCTATTTCCACACAGGAAATACACTGTATTCTTTGACCAAGCAATTAATATCAGTTGAAATTTATAATCTTTTTATTAAAACAATTTTTTGGAAATTAATCTTTTGAAGTCCTCTAAATGTTATAGCTCTTTCTAATATTGATGGAAGTTTCTTTCCAGTCTTTTATTTTTGTAATGTGGAAAGTTAACAGCCAGATTATATCATTATTTTCCCTTCTAGTTACATGTACCCATTTTTTGTTGCTGTTGAAAGTGTTCAAGTGATGTGGTTTGTGTGATTTCGTAAACATCTGAACTTTGTCAATCGATCTCATTCGCTAAAGGCCAGCCCAGCTGTCAATCACTAGTACCTGAAGATTTGCATGCAATGGCAGAGAGATGGCTGTTGACTTATCCTTTTTGATTTTCTCCATTTAATATCCCTTTCTTATCTATTGTTTATTTTTATTTATTTTTTTTTTTTTGCAGATGTTTTACAGATACTTATTACAAAGGCACTTGAATGTCTTCCATCTTCATATCCCAAAATGCTGCTCTTTCAACCATCAGTTCCACCTCCTTTCAAATAACATCAGCAAACAGTTTCCTTTAAAGTTATGTCCATCTGAACTCAAAAAGTCTTTTAAATTTCCCTTTTCTCAAAGTCATCCTTGCCTGATTGAGAGTTTAAACAGCAGACCTGTAACTGCCACTGAGTTTTCAAATCTTAAAGACTTTCCTATTGCCGCATTTCCAGAACATGAAAATAAATGCTTCCATCAGATTTTAAGAAAAAATGTACATTATCAACGTCTAATGATGCAATGTAGCAATCGCTACACAGAACCACAAAATGTTTTGACATGGGAAGATATCTTACAATGTCTTGAAGATTTTTTATCAAATTTTAATGATTATTCCCATTTTGAAATTCTTAGACAATTCACAAAACTTACAAATTTGACACCAGACAAAGAAGTTGATTTACTTACTAATCAAAAATTTATTCAGATTTGTGAACTTCTGATAAGTCAACTTTCTGAATGGAACCATGAAGAATTTTTCTGTTTAATGCAAGTTTTGATAAAGTTTGACTTTCACTCATATATTACTCCAATCTTGCGGCCACTACGGTTGAAGCTCAGCTCAAGGTTTGATAAGGAATGTGTCAAACGGATACCTCAATTTACCACAGAACAGTTATTCCAAGTTTGTGATTTCTTTTTCTATTTCCGCTATAACAAGTACAGTAAATTCAGCCAAACATTCTTCAATTTGATTCAAGATAAACCACTGAGTGACACAGAACTAATTGTAGCCTTATTTTATGCTAACCTTTCTAGAAATGTTCCAAAGAAATTTATTGATAATGTTTTAGAGTCAATTTCCTCAATTGCTGACAGCCTGACTTTGGAAGAAATGGCTATCATTTGTCTTGGCTTCTTCAAAACAAAATATCAGATCCGAAACACGGCTTTCTTGGAAACTATGATTGATAAATTGTACCGTGAAATTAATCTGACTGACCCGATTACAGTATCTGCTTTATTTAAAGGACTACAGATTTCAACTACGAAGACCCTTGATAAGGCTTTCCCAAGTTTGTTTGCTGCTCTCAGCAATGTGCTGGACAGTGTAACCAAAGAAATTCTTCATTACCCGTTGACCACTTTTATGCATGTGTTTCTTTATTTTCATTTCATCCATTTTGTCAATGATGAGTTTATTGCTAAGGTGAAAGAAAGACTTACTCAAGAAGATATTTCTCAGTGGAGAATTAAAGACATTGCCAAAATTACTTATTCTGTTACTAACCTTGGAGCTTTACTTTTGCCAATGCCTGAATTTTGGGAAAAGGTGCTCAAAGATTTGGAATCTCCAGAGCGGCAGAGGGAAATTAAGAGCTACCCTCAGTGTTTATTGTCAACACTAGTTGCCATGTCATTTATAGGCCTTTATCCTGAAAAGCTAATCAGCCATATATTTCAACCAACAACGCTGGCCAGTTTTGATTCACTCCGCAAAAGTAAGTACTAGAATTTTGTCATTCTTATAGTCAAAATAATAATAGTAAATATCTGGGGTCTGAAAATAGATTGGGATGGCAAAGAATGCATTTCAGAAGCTGGGCAGAGTACTGTGAAACAGGGGGGATTTCTATGGTGACAAAGAAAAGAGTACTGAGCTGCTATGTAACATCTGTCCTCCTATAGAGCAGCAAATGTTGGATGGTATCCTCAACGATGAAGAAAAAATTTGAGGCGGCAGAGATGTGGTTCTACAGAAGGATGCTGAGGACATCATGGACTGAGCATGTGAGCAACGATGAGGAGGATGCAAACAAAAAGGAAGCTCATGCTTAACATAAGAGGCAGATGAAATTTCTGGGACATGTGATGAGAAAGGAGGGCCTGGAGAATTTGATACTCGTGGGACGAATAGAGGGGAAAAAAAGATGGAGGGAAAGCTGTGCATGACATACGTGGCAGGCTTGGGCAGGTGGATGGCAGAGTGTGGTCTGGGGGAGTTGACAGAAACACAAAACCTGTTGAGAGCCACAAGGGATAGGAGGAAGTGGAGGGCCATGATCGCCTATGTCCTGAAAGAACACTGCACATAAAAAGAAAAGAAATAACCAAATTCCCATCTTACAAAGATTTCTCTTAATAATAATTTTAAAATAATTTGGTAGACGATGTTATTTATACTGGATTTTTGGTGATTGCTTTATTTGGTTTTTGTCATTTAAGACTATGCATCTGAAAAATGGCGTTTTTTTTATAATGGTCGCTATTGCTTCTCAGCCTTTTGGCTAAGATCAAAGTATAGTATCTGTTCTTATCAGTTTAATCTGATTCTCTCTCTCTCCCCACTTCTATCTTCTCTTCTTTCTTGCTTTCATTTTCTCATTGTAACCAAGTAGTATCTTTTCACTTTCCACACAATCAAAATGGAATAGTCCCTTATTTATGAGGTCTTGGCATGGCATAACGGTCGTGTAAACTAACAAAGGTAGGGACAAGCACAATTATAATAGGATGGTAATATTAGCTGTTTCCTTATAAGGAAACACAGCATTCATCGCTCAAGCAACCTGTGCTACTCAAGTTACACTTTTCTTTCTGGCATCAGCCTGAAATCAAAGTGTAATATCTGTTCTCTAATGGCAATATTAGTTGTTTACTTATAAGGAAATATTTGGTATTCATTGACCAAGCAGCCAATGCTGCTTTTGGTTGAAACTTATAGAATCTTTCTCTTAGAACAATTTTTTAAGAAAATATGCTTCTCGTGTCCAGTAACTGTGATCGCTTTTTCCAGTAATGGAGGTTTCCTTCCTTGCTTTTTGTTTGAAGTAGTATGGAATGTTAACAACTTAATTATGTCATTATTTTCTTTTTGAGTTACCTGTACTATCTATTTTAGTTGTGTGTTATTCATTTTAATTGCTTCATAGAAGTTACAATTTCTTGTGGTTGAGATATTATGTCTGAAATTTAAAAAGCAAAATACATTTGCACATATGCTTGAATCATTGCTTTTCTATTTTTCAAATTACACCAGCCCATAATAGTATAATGACATGACTAAAAATTTGTTGGATGTTTTTAAGCTAATAGTAGATATCCCAAACTAAAATTTTATATTCAGTATATCTAAAAACCTTTGATACAGATATAGAATTTTATTTTAATCTTTTTATGGACAAACATGAGTGCAAAATTTAAAGAACTCCAGTTTATATATTTATTTTTCTATTTTATAATATGAATTCTGTTTAATGTGTTCTTTTTTTGTTTAAGAAAATGCATAAAAAGGACAGCCGAGGTGAAAGTGATTCAAACGTGACAGTTCGGATAAAAACAATAAAGAAGCACTTTATACAGTTTTATAAAAGAAAATATAAGAAAAAGATTTAAGCTATGTAATATTTAAAATGGGGGTTCAATTGACAATATTCATTCACTCAGCAATTCAAATTTTGATGCATCAGACCCAATGATTTTGCACAAAATGAACACTGTATACCTTCTTTGATTCAAATGCCTTGAGTTCTATGGGCACAAAGATATGAAACCAACTGATTATTAAGGAAAAAAATATTGCACTACAAGGTGCAATTTTCATTTTTGTAAGAGGTGAATTTTTCTGGTATTTCATGTACTAAAGTTTATAACTTAGAAATTTTTTTGGAAAGACTTCAAACCCTATATGAAGCACACCAAATTGATGAGCATCTTTTTTATTTAAGATGAGACAATTTTGATTTGATATGTGTAGGAAGACAAAACTCCAAGCAAAACAAGTTTCAAAAACACCAGTATGAAATTGTCAGCTTTGAAAATGCAGAAAAGGAAGCACCTGTTGTTGAAAAATTTAAAGAGACTTGGAATAAAAACTAATCATCACACACAAGAAAGAATTAAATACCTACTAATAGATGAGAAGCATATTAAAAGAAACTTTATGGTGCTGTAAAAAGTCTCATTGAAATCAAAGCATAATTTTCTCTTGTTAAAAAAGGTATAAAATTTAATTTTCTTTTCAAGAATCTTATAAGCAGATTTTGTTTGTTTAAAAGTAAATAAATAATTATAATTAGAATAAAAAATAAGTTTTAAACAGTTTTTCCCTCACTTCAAGCATCTTAATGATTTTACTGTTTTTGCCACTTTTTTTTTTTTTTCTCAGATTCCAGATTAGATTTCCGCCGTGAACTTTTCCAGTTAAATGAGAGTGTTCGTCTGGAATGCCCTGATTATAATGGTTGCTTTCTACCTGACAATTTCCTCAAATCCATTTCCAAGGTTAGTTGTTATTGTTTCAAAAACCATTTAGAATAGAAAAATAAAGATCTCTTTCCAAGATTCAGTTCTTTCCTCATCATTTTTAGACAATGTATAAAAAATAATGACAAATTTCCTAGTCTTTATTTTTTTTCTTTTTAAATTATTGATATTTTTCTACTTAAAAGTAGTGGGTAGAGTAATTTGAGAGATTAGGAATAGAATGGAGATATAAAAATGAATTTTTCCCATTGTGCCCTCTGGGCTTCATCAGGTGTATGTTGATTCGGTTAACCTACAGAGGACACCAAACTGAACCCTTTATTTAATCTATAGGGGTAGACTGTCTTTGTTCCACTGCCCATGTCTAGAGATGTTTCATCTAGTTCAGCAGTTTTCAAATTTTTTGAAGTCAGGGCACACTTGAAATCCTACCAATAATTGTAGGTGCACTATATACAAATTCCGGAAAAATATGTTATAATGAAATCAAATATTGCAGAAAAGAAATGATGCAATAAAGAAATATAAAATGAAACATACCTTAAGTTTATTCATTCTTGTGTTTATGAGAAACATGATCCTGATGAGTCTTTAATGTTTGGGTGTATATTTGATAGGCAAACTCTCATTTCTTTGTCAATACATTGAAGAGTTCCTCTCTTTTTGCACTTAAGTAGGATGGTAAGAGCAGAAAAGCCTAATTCACATAAATATGCATGAGACAGGTACCGCAATATAATAAAGTGAATATATTTATTTCTTCTATCTGGACATATTTCTCTGGAATGCCAGGGTGCACCATTTAAAAACCATTGATCTAGTTCTTTCTTTTAGTATTGCTCAGTTATTGCTCACCCTGTTTAAACCAAGTTCAATTACGCATTGCCTGACCTAGTGATTGAACTCAATTATTAGGTTACCAAATTCACAAACCAACATTTTAACCCACAAGGTTATTGTCTCATAGGAATATAAGTTTTAACTTTGTATAAGTTTCATTACTTTTACCAGAAAAGAAAAAAAAAAGAGACTGGCTTGTAAAATTCAATATGACTGAAACAGTAGACCCTGAACTTTCACCTATTGTAGTGGATGGGTCTTCTCTTAAGGAGGCTCCTTGTCTTGAATGTCTGTTTGGACTAAAGTTCACCTCAGACCTCAAGTGGAACTCATATATCCGATGTATTGCTAACAATGCTGGAAAAATGGCCTGTTTATTGTGCCACTCCAGTAATTATCTGACTCCCTCTGCTATCTTTACAAGAGCCAAATCAGACCAAAAATGGAGTATTGCTGCCATATCTGAGCTGGAACTGCCCAGTTCTCACTTTGCCTGTCTTGATAGAGTTCAAAAGCATCTACATGGCTTTGTGTGTGATCAGTTATTTTCCACCCTACAACCATTTTCCCACAGACAAAACTTTGCAAGCCCCTCACTGCTCTATCGCTATTCCCATGGCATGTGTTCAACAAATTAAATTCCTCAGTCCCACTACCTCTGACCTTTACAACCAGAACCCACTATGACACGTGCACAAGTATGCTCAACCCCTGGTGTTGACCTTTATCAGCAGTAACCAAATATGTACCCCTGTTGTTTGCCCTAGACAATAGTAACCAATTAGATGACTCTTCACTTGATAGCACATGACTTGTTTTGTTACTGGTAGTTTAATTTAGTAGTTTGTGTTTAGAAAAAAGAATCTTTGCATGTCTGGAGTTGCTTTGTTTTCCATATTTTTCCCAGTATGAAAAGTTTGATGTCCAACTTTTAAAAAAAAATCTAAGTTAAAATGGAACTACTCTTTTCAAATAATAAATGGTAGAACATTTTGCAAAGGATTGTTTGCTAAAAAATTGCTTTTGAGGGGTTTTGTATTGAGATAGTAATTGATTTCTAATGTTTTATTTATTTAAGTCTCTACTGAATGTTTGTCAGTTTGCCAGATAAATTTTTCACTAGGTGCTCTATGAACATAGTTGTTTTTTTTCTATAAAAGGGAGTTATCAGGCAGAACATGAAAAGAGTTAATGAAAGTAAAAGTTTTTCTCTATTTTCTTGTCTTTCTTTGTACCTTTTTTGGTTCTTACCATCTTTCCTCCTTAATTGTATCTTTTTTTCCTTCATACCATCTTACTCTCTGTTTCTTTCATATCATCTCACTCCCTTTTTCTTTCATACTGTCTAACTTTTTCTCTCTCTCTTTGTACCATCTCATTTTTTCTCCCTCTCACCATGCCATTTCACGTTTCTCTCTCTCTCTCCTTGCCATTTCACCTTTTTGTTTCTTACTCTTTTTCCAGGCCTTCTCACATTTTTCTTTCTTTCTCTCTCTCTCTCTCCATGCTGTCTCACTTTTTTTCTCTCAATGACATCTCACTTCTTTTTTTTCTCTTCATGCTGTCTTGCACTTTGTTTATGCATTTTTTAACCAATTTCTTTTTTCTTTTCTTTTTTTTTTTTTTTAATTCCAGAACCATGAAATATTTGGCAGACTGCCTGATGTAAAGTCTCCTTTTAATTCAATCTCACAGAGGAATACGATGTTCTTTGAAGTTGTCCAGAACCTCAACAAATTGTTCAAAAATAAAAATAAATATCTAATAGATTTTCTTCTGCCACATTTTCAAACTGCAGGTAGGTGGGGATGGGGCCACTTGTCAGCAGTTGATTTTTTTATCTTTATTGTGTCTGATGATGAATTGAAATTTTGCAAAGACATTTTGTCATAACTACATGCGAGTTTTGAATATTTTTTTATCTTTTACATAAAGCATTGTTACATATTAATTTCTGACTAGTATTTTCATCGTTTTTTTTTTTTTTTTTTATTACAGCTTCCAGTTCAATGTGTGTTAAGTAAGCAACATAGATCAGAATTAAAAAATAAGCTCTCTTTAAGATTTGAACTCACATTCCTCTCCATAGCCTGTTTTGCCATGACATCACCCTACCAATTAGACTATAAAAGCTAACCAGCAGAAGTCATTCAGATTTAATTATAGTTATATTGCGTTTTTTTTTTACTCCTATTTACACATTCATAAATAGTATCTAAAATAAAAATTTCAGTAAAAAAAAAAAAAATGGAAAAATCACTTTTTTACATTTGATACACAAAATCAATTTTTTTTACTTATCTTGGCACTTGATTTATACTTTTTACCAATATGCATACATTTCATTTTTAGCTAGCCTATTTTATCTTGTCACTTTGTAAATAGCATAAGAAATAAAATTCTGTTTTTTAATCAAATTTAAAAAAAAATACATTTTTATTCTCTCAATTTAACTATGCTATGCTAAATGTGCTTTAGTCAAAGTTATAAAATTGGCTTTAAAATCTCTTAATGGGTTTGATAATTTATTCATTGCCTCTTCCCCCTGCTCCCAAAAAAATCGAGCATCTTTTTAAATGAATTAGAAGTATGCAAAAATAACTGAGTTTTATACTTTCAACAACTGTCTTTTGAAAAAGTTGTCATTAAACAAAGTAACTTAGTAAGGCTAAATACAAAAGTACTAATAACTATTCTCCATTCAATAATTTATGTTGTTTTATATTTTCAATAACTTATTACTGTCATAATGTTTTTTTCTTTTTTAAATAAGCATTTATCTGGAATAAGAAATTAAAGAAATAGTCAAATTATAATTCTGCTTGTTCTCCATTAGTTAGAAAGTTAGTACATGTGTTACACCCTAAACCCTGCCCACAAATTATTTGTATAACAGCAGCAGACAAAGTAAATCTCTAACACTTTTTACTTCTGGCTACTTCTTTACTCTGGGGTACAGCCCTCCACCTACATTGAAGTTTTGTTGTGAGTACTTACTTATTTCACACCCTGCCATTACCTCAAATAAATAATCGACCATTCTGCTTTGATTGCAAGGAAAGACGGATGAAAAAGATATATCAGAGATGCTGTTTGGTTTTAAAGAAAGAAAAGGCATAATGTTTTTATGCATTTAACATCTGCTTCAGTGAAATATAAAATTTTATCAATTTTTATCTTTTCATTTGTATCTTCTTACTTTAAATAATGACCTATATTCATAATTCTGATTTCTATTGCAATTGTAACAAGCTCTGCCCATCCAATGCCGGCACTCCCATTAGTAATAGTAATGCTAGCCAAATGCTATAAGCTTACAACCACATCATGCTTATACAGTGGTTCCTGTATGATCACTGAAGTTAAGCAGTGTCAGGCCTGGTTAGTACCTAAACAGGTGACCACTTAAGAATACCAGGTGCTGTAAGGTTTAATGTGGGGGTAGTGTAATCGATAATGGTTTGGGATTTTTAATTGGAGAGCCAAATTCCATTTCTCGTTATATTCACTTACATGCAAATACTCTTTGGGAAAGGTAGGAATCCACCTTTTCTTCCCCAGCTATGAGTTAATTAGTAAGACTTGTATCACTAAATCATAATTATCTCCAAAAAAATTCTTACAATCTAAAAATATTTTCTGGCATTAAATAACCTGAAATTGGTTGATAAGCTGTAAAAAAACAAATCAATCAAAACAATCTCTAAGAATGAATTAATAGAAAATTTATATTTAAAAGAAGAAAAAAAAACTTTTATTAAAGTTAAGCTCAAATATTTAGTTATGCAATGAGAGAATTCCCCTGGGTTTTAATAACCATGAAACACACTAGGAATTCATTCAATCATTAACTTAAGAATTATGATTCATCCAAAAATTAAAATAAAACTGTAAAATTTTCATGGGTATATAATATATATAAATTTTATATTATATATAAATTTTTCAGAGATGGTGAACTCTCTTCAGACCATCTGTAACACCAGGAATTCATCATGATGAACACAATGACAACTGATTACATCAAAAGAATATAATCCTTTCTCCTCAAATCCCAATATTCTTGTTCAATTTTGTTGTCAGCTATTAGACTAAAGAACAGCAATATTAACACTTTTTTTGGTGACTTGTAAAGAACAAGGATAGAATATTGGTGATTTCCCAGAGACTAAATAGCATCACTGGGAAGAGCAGGTATTAGCTACAATAGTGTGCAGAGGATAAAATGAAGACAAGTAGCACATTTCAAAAAGGGGGATGTTATGTAATTAATGTTATTTGGTATTTAGCATGTAAAATAGTAAATGCTAATTAACATCCCTTGGTGCAGAATTTGTTTTTTTTTTTTTTTTAAAGCTTAATAAATTAATCCCTACCTTAACTTACTTTCATTGATTGGAAATCTTCTATTTTGTTCTTGATCTGATTAAAAGTTTATATTTGTAAAACGGTTGTAATTAAGTCAGTAATTCTCAACCTTTTTAAGCAACCGCACACCTAGCAGCAAATGAGAATATCACAGCACACTTAGCAAAATTTTTAAAGAGTGTACATTTATAGGGATGAGTTTAGCTTAAGATAGGAGCAGGCAAAAATTGCCTTGGTGGACGCCTTAAAAATAAGGGCATTGCAGCAATTTTTTTAGAATTTGCAAAATTTGTTTTTATTTGTAAATGTAATATTAACGTAAAATCTTTAAAAAATTGATAAAAATAAACAAAAAGCTTTAAAAAATCAAATATTTATTGACAAATAACATAGCATTTATGATGGGATTATTAGCAATGATACATTGCAGTAGAACATTTTCAAAAAAGAAATCAAATATTTACGACATTATTAGCTTAGAATATGTTGTGGAAAGAACAAGATTGATGAATACAAATATAAAGCTTTTTCAGCATAAAATCAAAATATTGAAACAAAAAAAAATATCTACAGTAAATGTCAAAAACGATCCTTTACTTTCTGACATGAATATTAATTAGTAATTTTCTTATAGATAATATTTTCCTGACTAATTTTTGTTGCCTAGCATTCAGAAAAACTTCCTCTACTCAGGCAATTTGTCAGAATTGAAAAACATTAACTTTTTTATTATTTTAGATGGGGGGGGTCCTGTTGCCAATATAAATGCACCGTCAAGCTGATTCCTGACTTTTTGACATGTTTTTAGGGGATCAGTCTATTTGAGTATTGCTGTTTTAAAATGAAATGTATTATTACTATGTAATATGTATGTATACATATGTTCATTTCATTTCCGGTAGACATAAATGTTGCAAACTTGAAATAAACTGGTAACATTTGTTGAAATGCTTTTCTACGTCTTTTCTTTGAAAATAAATCTGCGTGTGGCTCTAGTCAAATTTTTTCTTAGAAAATTCCCACAACCACCTTAAGAAAAATGTAATATTTTTCGTTCCTAATTTAAAAAAAAAAAAAAAATTCCTTTGAAGTTGAAGGCAAAAATTGCTATGGACGTGGCTTGTTTTTTTAAGAGCATCTTGGCATTAAATATAGGTACTGCAGTTTAAACACATCCCTGCATTTAAATGTTATGAAATAAAACCATAGACTTAAAAAAAAATGTACACATACAAATATGAACTTACTTTATCTCAATGTTTCTATTCAACTATTTGTGCAGCTTCTTTAGTGTGAAACCTGTGCCTTGTGTTTTTTCGAGATTTCTTCAATGTTTGATCAAATGTGCACTAAGCAGCTCTTCGTTTCTTCTTCAGTTAAGCATAGCCTTTCTTGCTTCTTATTTTTGATGTTATTTGGGGTTGAGAAGCCTAATTCGCATAAATAAGTAGAAAATAGCAATAAAATTGATAAAGCCTTTTTAGCTAATGTTAGATAAAAATGTTTAATACTTATTCATTTATTCAAATACTAGCCCTGTACCATTACTATTTACACACACACACACACATATATGTATACCATTTGCAGCACACATAAGAGGATCACATGGCACATTAGTGATTTAAGTGAATGTAAATTATTTTCTAACTTTCAGATATTGAAATCCGTCTTGATGTTGAAGGTGAAGCAGTTCCTTGCGATTTATGGAGATCTTCACCAACAAAGACTGTTGAAAATCCAATCACTGACTGCTACCTCACTGATCTCCTTCTTCATTTGGCGAATGGAAATTCATTTCAAAGGTATTAGATTTTATTATTTACATACAAATTGTTGTCTTTGTCTTTATCACAATGTTTCAGCTGTTGTCCCCTCCAGTCTTCGTCAGGTTTATATTGATCCGAGCAGACCTACAGGGAATTTCTGAACTGAACCCATTAATGAGTCTACAAGGGTTGAGGATAACTGCTATTCCTGGTTTCACAGATAGTCTAACAAGAGTCTACCATCTCTGACAGAGAATTTATATATACTAGCAGTAACCATGTAAATTTTACAGTTTTCCTGTTTTAATTTTCTGATGAATAATAAAATAAAGGGTCCAGTTTAAAACTGCCTGTAGGTGGTGGTTGGGGTAGTTCCATAATGGCATAGGGTGTGTTCGTATCACAAGTTTATCACTACTCTTGATATTTACATGACAGATGTTCAAATAAACTATATTCTTTAGTTCTGCCAGTTCAGGCCTTTACTGCTAGGGTCTACTATGCCATATCCATAGGGTTGAATCATACTCATTCCCCCCGTATTCCATTGGTAATTTTGGTCTTGAACATTGTTGAACAATTACTGAAGATAATAACAGGGTGTCTATAGTGTTTTTTTTTTGTTCTGGTAATTTCATATAACTTTAATGGAAACAACATTTACTAGTTTACCATCCATAATAAGCAATTGTTTTATTGTCATTATAACCAGGTTTAATCCAAATTTTGACCTTTTTACTCAGTGTAGAGGTGTACTTCAGCTAATAGATGAGTACCAGGTTCTCAAGTGATAGTTGTCAATTTGTTTTTATAGGTTAATTTGTAACTACCATAGGTTCACTCTTTACTAGGTGTTCCATTACAAAAAGTAAGTTGTTTAAAAAGACAAACAAAAAATAAAATAATTATGCATGTACATACATACACACAATTATAAACAGAATATGGTTTAATAGACTGTTTTGCAATAGGTGAGAGGTATGCTAGAATTTAAGTAATATTAATGTAGATATAAAAATTAGTATTTTCTCTTAAAGATAGCGCAATGGAAAGAGACAGAATTTTTTTTGTTTTTTAAGCAAAAACGTGAAAGTTCTGGTCTGAAAAAACCCGTGTATAAAAGAACAACACTGTCTCAGAAATTCAGGCATAAAAAAGATCAGAATGTATTGTGGCTGAAACATTAAGACAATGAAACTGGTCTGAAAGAATTAGTGTGTAATAGGAACAACACTGTCTCAGAAATGCAGATAAAATGATGAATTATTTTCATTCAGATATTGAAATTTTAATGTTGACAAGTGTTGGGATTCCCAGCAATTTAATAAAACAATTTGAAAATAATTATTTTCTTTGAAGCCTTTTCACCTTTCAAATGAATTAATTTTTCAAAATTGTTATCTTTCCTTTTCATTCACTAATTTTATGAACTGTAAATACTGTTTTATTAATTTTGTATTTTCGTCTATTTTTAGAATAGCTGTGGTTCTGTTTGGGCCAAACTGTTATTGTCGAATTTATGACCCAGAAAAAGGAGGTTTATCTTACCACCTACTTGGCCTTCACCAAACAAAGCTGCGACAACTAGAAAAAAAAGGGTTTAAAGTGGTAAAAGTAAGTGAACTATTTTATGCTCCATTGGGAAAGATGAAACGATTCAACAAAATGAAACGGTTAAAACATGACCATATTGGGATGACTATACCTCGTTATACATTGCCTTTGTAAATGAAACCTCATTATAACAAAACTTAATGTTGCTACAACAATTAAATTCATAAAAAAACATGTTCTGAATTTTGGACAAAGCATGAAAGTTAAAAGCTTTGTAATGGTAGCAGTGAATTATTAAAAGAATAAAAAAAGAAAGCAAAACAATCAAACACTGACTTTTTTTTTTTTTTTTTTTTTTTTTAGTGAAAAAATTAAAATATAATAGAACCAACCATGCCATATTTACTTTTTGTTTTTGTTTGTTACATAAATTAAAGAAAATAAGTCTTTTTTTTTTTTTATTCAATTAAATATAATTTTCTTTAAAATTCCTTAAAGGGTTTTTCTATCTATGTACATTTAACTTTTTTTTCAATAATTCAAAGAATATGTTTACATAAAAAAAAACTGCTCTACCTTCCTCTGATAAAGTAAAATATGGTATATATTAATTTTGTTAACTTGGTTATTGGAGCAGACGCAAAAGTTTAAATATCTAGTAAGCGTCTTGACAGAGGATGGTAAATGCGATACTGAGATCCGTAGATGTATTGGTATGGCCAAGGACACATTCCAAAAGCTGAGCAAAGTATTGCGAGACAGCAGGATTTCTTTGGTAACAAAGAAAAGAATACTGAGCTGTTACACGATATCTGAGCTTGCTGAGAGCTGCAAGGGATAGAGGGAGGTGGAGAACCATGATCACCTCCGTCCTGAAAGGACATGGCACATAAAAAGAAAGAAGAGTTATTGGTGTGTGTATATATTTAAAAATCCTATTGCTCCAAGTGTAAGGTTTCATCTTTAAATACTCTCTTGATAGATTTGGCCCTGCCCCAAACTGATACACAAATCCATTAATAAATTTTTTAGTATCATGATCTGGCCAGTATGACATGATACTATTTAGTACATTTTGTTATATAACAACAAGTTTCTTTTCACATTTCCAATAGACAATAATGAAATGACATCTACACAATCTATCTTTTTATTTGAAATAGACACAATATTTTTATTTATTAAACAGTGTTTATTATGTATACTGGCCTAGAAATCTTATTAAAGAAATTGTATTTTCCAGCAGGGAGCAAATCGAAATTTCTCAAGTGGAGTGCATACACAGGCAAATAGACATAAAATACAACACTTTAATAAATAAATACAGGAAACCTATTTCAAATAATGTCCACTATAATAACAATTGAAGTTATATATATATATTAAGACATTTTTTATGTTTGTACGTTCTTTTTATAGATACTTCGGCTTGTTCAGGAGTTGAAGAGTCCCTAAGTTTTTGCATATTCTCAGCATTGGAAGCTTTCCTAGCTGCCATTTGACCTGGGTTTTCATTTGTATGGGACTTTCTTTTCCTCGCTGCAGCCTTGGCACTTTTGATTGTAATCTGTTGGCAGAGATTTATTTTTGCAAGTCCGACTACTGCCATATGCAATAGGCAGCAATAAACTACAGAACTCAAAATTGTTCACTGCATTTAAATATTGCATTAATATCTAAGCTTACCTTTTAAATGTTCAACAATAATTCTTCTGCTGCCACTTAATTTAAAGATAATTTGATGTACATAGGCCCTTACTTTCTGTACAAACAATTATTTTTATTTCATGAGTGACTTTTGCTGGATTTTGCAATTAATTTCAATTATACCCAAATTATTTCCAAGTTATAAAAATTGTTATCATACAAAAAAATCACATAAAATATTGCTGAAAACAATTGCAGTAATGAAAACTTAGGAATCCAAAATTTCAGGATTTGGGGGTCCAGATCTGACCCAAAATGTTTTTAATTTTCTCACAGAGTTGGCCTGATTCCAAAATGGTGATATGTTGGGTTATGGCCACTATGAGTAAAGTTGAAAAAGTGTGACTCACCGACAAACTGATATTTGCATTTATATAGAAGGAGATGAGCTATTGAGAATTGTCCCTTTAATTGAAAAAGTGTGACACACTGACATTAACATTTATTATATAGATATTTATAGTTGTGAACAGAATTATTCACCCCTCTTTCCATAATTACAAAAAAAAGCTGCAATACCTCAAATTTTCATGGAAACTTCATGTGCATGTTTTCACAAATGATAAAATAATGGATTTGAAAGAATGTGCAGTGATGACCACAACAAAATTTTTATTTTATTGTCAAACAATAATACAAAAAAAAACACCAAAACAATTAACATAGGACATTAGCCTTCTTGCCTCATTAATTGATTGTTTAACCATTATTCTTGATTATTGCCTTTAGTTATTTTTGATAGTCCCTTACACGACCACTACATACACTGATAGGTATTTTGCTCCATCCTTCCTTGGCAATAGCTTCTTGTTCCTCCAAATTTGAAGGACTTCTTTGTTTTATTTTTTCTTCAAATATGCCCATAAATTTTCAATGAAGTTTAGACCAGCACTATATGCCTTAATTTTGCTGTCATCTAAGTATTTTGTAAAAATTTGTGCCATGTGTTTCATGTTATTGTCATGTTGGAACATCCAGTGACACCCCAAAGACAGATTTTGTGCACTTTGTTTTATATTATTTTTAAGACTAGCCAAATATTGCCCTTTATCCATGACACCCTCTGTTCTCAGTAGTTCTCCTGGTCCAGGAGCAACAAAACATCCACAGAACAGAATGCTCCCACCACCATGTTAAATTGTAGGAAGGTTATTTTTTTTTTTTTTTTTTTTTTTTTTTTTTGTGCTTCATTCACTTTCCTCTATATATAATGGGAGTTCTTGTGACCAAATAATTCTAGTTTGGTTTCATCAGATCATAAAACAGAATTTCAATATTTACTTTCATGTTCTAGATAGCTTCCAGCATAAGCTAATCCAGATTTTAGGTGTTTAGCCTTAAGCAAGGGAGATTTCCTTGGGCAACAAATTCAGAGTTCTGCTTAATGAAAGCATATGGTGACTGTCTTTGTTGATACTTTCAACACTGATGTAAATCATTGACAATGTCCTTTATCATTGAGGATTCTTTGAGACATTTCTAATAATTTTCCTTTCCATTCTCTCAAAAATTAATCATTTTCTGCCTGTCCTTAATTTATTCTCAACACAATGTGTCTCATTGTACTTTTTGATAACACTACGAATTGTTGATTTAGGCATATTTAAATGCTTGGAAAATGTTGTATATAAATCATCTTGTTTATACACATCAAATAATCACTTTGGATACAGCAAAAATATTTTTAATAACAAAAAAGAAGTTTGATTTAGTAAAGACAATGAAAATACTTTTAAAAAATAGAAAATAATTTTTGACCAAAATTTATCATTTTGTACAATTCTGTTGATTTGGTATGTGTGTGTGTGTGTGTGTGTGTCCATATTGAGTAAATTTTCCAAGAAATCCTTTTTTTTTCTTAAATAATTTAATGTTAAGAAAAAAAAAAACTATTGAAAAGAATATTTTTTTCTGCAATTTGAGAGGCTATTGTAGATTCAGTTAAATCGGGCACAATCATATTCAGTAAATTTATAAAAAGACACATTTCACCCAAATATTTAAAAATTAAGAACTATTAAAAAAAGGTTTTTAACATTTTTGGTAAGTAGCGCAGAATCTACTAAATTTCCACAAGCATGTGAATGAAATGCTTGCACAATACAAAAGTTCATTCAACCATATCCAAAGTTATCCTTATACTGTTAAGGATCATCTTGACCATATCTCATTGCCAACTTAGTCATCCTGTGCACAAGTGTCTATCCACATTTGCAGTAAGGTCTCCTGATTGGGTGCCAAGTTACATGAAGACCAGGCACAAATGGTTCTCAAGGTTACCCAAACTGAATGGATATATTCCAGACATGCTTCATGACAAACCTTTACAAAGTTCTATAAACAATGATTTTGTGTTGAAAAGGAAATCTTTGTCACTGTAATAAGCAAAGAGACAAAAAAAAGAAAGGGGTTTTCTTTTATTTTTTTATCAAAGATAAAAAAATAATTTATAATTCTGTTCTCTCTTTTCAGATTCCATTCTTTGAGCTTCCTGGAGGTCCGGATCAATTAAATTATCTTCAGCAAAAGATTTTCAAGTCTCAATCCAAACATTGACTATGATGTGTTTTAATTCAGTTGTAAATAAAAAAGATAGTCATATTCATATTTCATATTGAATTTTATTTATTTACATCTTGTTCCTCCACAATATGGGGTGGAAAGTTTGTTTGTTTTTGTTTGTTTTTCTCATCTTTTAGATCAAGTCTTTCCAGACTACGTCCATCAGGTCACTTTTAATCAACCACAGTAGGTTGTTTCTTTTGAATAGTCACATTTCCTTTTTCTTTCCCAATCATATTATAGCACAGCCAGGGAAGTTTCAAAAATATTAATCTTTGGGAGGACATTTTCATGATTCAAAAGACATTGGACCATCTAAACGACTATGGGATACGGCATGGCACTGTGAACCTCTCTGATTTTGTACAATACGCCCATGGGTGTATCACCTACAGCACTTCAAACAACAATGTATATGTGTATATACATGCTCCATTTATTAAAATCTCTTGGTGAGAAATTAGATTTTATTTTTTTTTTTATTTTAAGAAATAAATTGCTTTTAAAATAAACATAGTAGAATTACAATTAAAAGTTCAGTATCATCTCCGCATTATCCCCAAAAAGTTAACCAGTTTTCCTAAACTAATGTTCTATCGTCTCCGGAACATTAATCTTAAGTGTTTACTTATTTTTATTTATGTAAAGTAAATAAGTTCATAAAATTCTTAATAACTTTTACAGAATGCAAAAGTAATAAACAGACATCTTTTTATAAGCTAAAATAACTCCATTAAGAAAACTTTATCTCAAAGTTTCTAGTTCAATCTCAGGTATTGATATCTGTGTAGTTTTTTTTTTTTTTTTTTTTTTTTTTTTTTTTAACCCTGTATTAGTTACCTTGGATTTCCAAAAATGTATAGTTCCTCAGTAGTGTTTACACACTCCAATACAAAAATACTTATAGTGTTACAATTATACAAAATTATTGTACTGCTGAACAAAAATGATATAATGGACAATCTCCATTACAATATACTTCAAATCAAAACTTGAACTGAAAATATTATTATTCACTGAAATGAAAATTATGATAAATTTGTTGCATAAACATGTTGTAAATTGTAAGTGAAACATGGCAATACAATTATAGACAAAAGGTTTATTCATCAAAAATTTTCACAATATATTTCCATGAATAGAAAGATATTACGTTAGTTAAACTCATAACCACAGGACTGAAAGAGTAATAAAATATATAATATATTAAAAAAAAAAAATATATAAATCATAACAACTTACTTTCGTTAGGTAGAGTGACAGGACACCCACTGTGTGCTACACACCATCACTGAGTCAAGCAAGTAGTGGGAGGGAGCAGAAGAACCAAGTTGCCAACTAGGAATTCTTTCTTTTTATGTGTTATGTCATTTCAGAACATAGACGATCCTGGCTCTCCACTTCCCCCTATCCCTTGTAGCTCTCAACAAGTCCCTTCCCCAGACCACATTCCGTCATCCGCTTGCTTTAACCTGCCAGGTATGTCATGCATTGTTTTCCCTTGTCTCTCTTTCCCTCTATTCGACCCGTGAGTATCAGATTCTCCAGGCACTCCTTCCTCATTATGTGTCCCAAAAACTCCAGATGCCTCTTCCTGATGTCAAATATAAGCATCATCTTTGTTTGCATCCCCTCTAAGAACTCAGTATATAGTCAAATCTGGAACTACTTGGATGCCTGAAATGATTGCCTTACCAATAGGATTTCCCTCAGAAATGTATCATGTCTGATAGTATATAAAACCTCACCATTTACATTGAATATGACTATTATAGATACAAGTATTGGTGGTCTATCCTGTCTGAGTAAACATTAACATGTATTCTTGTATTATTTCAAACTATTGTCCTCATCATGGTTGTTATAGATGTTATTAGAGATACAATGTTTCGGACAAGTACCCTCTGATCATTACCAGGTGTGCATTGATTGGCTGTTGATTGTGATATTTTGTTCCTATGATGTCAGTTATTCTTCATTTCTGATGAATTGATGCTTCACTACCTGATCCAGTGGTTGAACTTATGACCACTAGATTATAACAACACATATATAATTAGAACTTAAATTTCCTTGGATTTATTTATTGGGGGTTGGGAGACTGATTTATATATAAAATTCTGTGATTTCCGTTAATCCGTCCATCATGTCTTCTAAAATAGCTATACAGTGAATGATTAAAACCAAATTTTGGAGAGACGTACAAACAGTGGGTACAAAGCACAAGGCCAAATGCTTCAAAAAGTTGGAATTTGGCTCTACAAAGATATATTTATGCATGGCCAATTGTATGTTGCATGCTCAAGAGTAAGAAATCTTAATTTATGCTTCTCTTCTAAAAATGGAAAAAAATTTTTTTTTAAATCTTGTTTATTGTGAAGTCCTATTAAATTAAAGAAATTATTAAACTGCTAAGTAGGTTTTTTGTCAATGTATTTTTCTAAAATCAGCTTATTCAAATTTTATCAATTAAGTTGCAAATTTTAACAAAACATAGAATTTGTAAATCTCAAGATGTTAGTGATAACTTCAGCAATATTAAATACTGTGAGGATTTTGACACACATCAGGATCTCCACAGACACCCACCTTTGCAATTTTTAAATAAATATCTGTAAATTGTGCATTGCCATGATTTTATTGCAAAAGATAGTAGAGTGGTTTTCCCATTGCTTTCTCATCAGTTTTGAATTCAGAGTTGTATTTCTTTACTGGTTGCCGTTGTTGAGAGGGCAGGTTGATAAGAAATGGATTTATGCCTTTTCTATAGACATAAGCAAAAAGTAAACAAACTGTCATGGCTGGAATTTGAACTCGCCTTACTAATTCTATTTCCTACATAATTTATCACGTCCCACAATTTTCATTTTTCTTCTGATACCAAAAATTGTCACATCACGACATATAAAATCATTTTTAAAAAAAATATATTTTCACATAAATCCTACCGATACCAGTTTACATAAACTGCTATTTATAATGTATGATGCATGTAAGTAAATGATGTTTATAATACCAGTTAAATAAGCTAGTAAATTATAATCAGAGCTATTTTTAATTGCTATACAAATGAAAATTCATAAAATTTTGTTTAGAAAGGAAAGTTTATGAAGTAGCATATGTTTTTTTTCAAGTGATGATTAAATGACTTAAAGATGAAAGACTAGTACAGATTGTAGCAATTTGTGTAATAAATTCAAAAAGAGTTGTTTATATCACTTGTATTAATGCTGTTGAAACGGATACAAATCCAACTGTATACATTCACAGTGGGACACACTAACAGTCATCTTGGCATGTCTTAACATTAACCATAAAATAGATACTGGCTTGCTAGTTATCATAAATACAGGCCAGGAACCCACAAAATTACGTGCTTGAAATATACCATTTGCTACTTAAAATTACTTTGGGAAGCTTTTTTTTTTTTTTTTAACTTTAAAGCATTTCTGTTTATTTCATTGCTTAGAAACTAATTTCAAATAAATGTTATGGGGAGCTTCATTTAGAAAGTCAGTTTATAATTGAAAAATTCACAAAGTAATATAAATTGTTAAACATGGTCTTTCATAAAAGTGATATAACTTTCACTTCTTCAGGTCAACTGCTGATGTGTTAACAGTCATTGCTGAAAGAGTATCAAGTTTTAGATAAGAATGGTGAAGCTCAGACTGTTGCTTTGAATATCTTGAAGGTGTTTGATTTGGCATGCTGGTCTTTTTCACAAATTGAAAGATTATGGTATTTTGGGACAAATTTTTGATCTGAAATGAATGTTATCTTGAATGGCCAGTCTTCTACATCTTTTTGCATTAACACAAGTTTTCCCACCAGGGCTCTATTCTTGAATCAATGACCTTCTAGATGTCATTAGTTCTCAACTCAGTATCTATGCTGATGACACAATTATTTACTTGTGTTTCAATAGTAAATCTGATTGGTTCAATAAGGTCAAATTTGTAGCTGATAAAAATTAAATACAATCCATTTTTAACAGGTGGGGGAGGGGAGTAAATCCTCAAAAACAAAACTGCTCACTTGTACACTATTTAGACTGTTGTCCTCATTTTTGTTGTTATATCCATGATGTTTCACCTGTTGTATGCTTTTGAACAGTGTAAATAGTTACAATACCACATCTCAGAAATATAGACATATGCTCTCTTTTAATCATTTTAGAGAATCTTTTATGCATTTGATCAGCATGGATGATGCTAACCTCCAGGAGAGTGATACAGGAGAAGTGGAAAGATTATATTTAATCAATTGCTAAGTCTATTGCTAGGAAAGTTGGTTCATGGTGTCATGCTAGAATCTATCATGCGTATTTATAAGGCAAGCATTTGTCCATGCATTGAATATTGCCGTCACATCTGGTTTGGTGCTTCTGCTTTGTATTTAGAGATTCCTGATAAAATGTAAAGAAGAATCTGGAATGTTATTGGTCCTGATCTGGCATTTCAGCTTTGGTGTCTTTCCCACTTTTCTATAATCATTTTCATGGTAATTGTTTTAATGAGCTTTTATCTGTCACCTTGACTTTGTCAATTTAAGTGCAGTACTAGATTGGCTGCTAGGTCTCTTCATTTTACAGTTGAAATTGATACATGCAACCATAAGTTTCTATACTAACAGTTTCTTCTCACATTTGTGAAACTCTTGATTTCCTGCTTTCCAGTCAACTTTGATCTTTAAAAATTTAAATGCAATATCAGTCATTTTTTTGTCTTCTAAAATCCTGTTCTTTTATTGTTTGCTCTCCATCATAACATTTTACTTTTTCTCATTCTTTCACACTCAATAACTCATTTTGGCTTAGTGGCTTTATTGCTTTGTTTGGGATGATAAAAAAAAAAAATAACTAGATTTATAAAAGTGGGATTAAATTCAAAATGAAAGATTGCTGCTTTGAAGAAAATCAATGTTTTCAGATTTGTATGCTGCTGCTGCTAATAATAATGATAATTAAAAAAAAAAAAAAAAGACAAATAAAAATATTCAAATATTTTAATTGGGGTTATCTTTGTTAAATGTCCAACAAATATCTTTATAAATATTGAGTTTTGGCTGCTTAGAAAAGATTACACAATCATCAACTGAGTATTTTCAGATAAACATTAATTTAAAGCATGTTTTTCATATTTGTACACACACACATGGAAAAAGAATTGAGATTATATATAGGTGTAATCCACAGAATCAAATTGTTTCTGCTTGCAAATATTCATACCCTGTGGATTTAACAGATTTCAGATGCCTTTTAGGTAGGTATCTCCACTAATTTTCTGAAAAAAAAAAAAAAAACCCAAACTTGACAAAAACAATGTTTTATTATCAAAATGTTTGTTATTAAGAAGAAAGATCATATTTTTGATTATTTAATTTTTGAATCCTTTCTAGCATGTTTGAAATTTTGGTTAAAATGTTTTTCTTGCATTAGTGGTGGACCAAAGATTAGTATAGGAAATTTTATAGGTTTTTGTGGTAAAAAAACATTGATTTGAAAATTTTTGCAAGTGAATTCAATTATTTTAAAATTTTTGGAAAATCTTGGTAAAATTTTTTTATGTTACCACTACCACACTTAATTTTATGAAATTTTGAGAAATAAAATTTTCACCCCCTTACTATTTATATTAGTTAAAAATAGAACTCCTTGGAGAATTTAAATCATCTTTCTTTTTTTTGTAAAACAGAAACACCATTTACTGAAAATCTGCTCCGAATCATAAAATAAAAAATGCAATAAAACTAAGACATTATTTAGCTTTTAATTACTTTTATGTATAAGATATATTAAGGACACTATTGTCTTAAAGAAAAAAAGGAAATTTCTAACAAATGATGAATTGTATTCATATTTATTATTTTTTTTTTTTTTAAATTAGAATAATTTATTACAGGTGTTTATAGATGACATTATCAGAAAGTAAGAGTGATAATTATAGTAAATTTAAAGCCAAAGCATCTAAAATTCAATAAAACATTAGATTATGGAGGATATTTTCATATATTAAGATTACCAAATAGTTAGAAATTATATATAAAAGCTTAAATATTAAAAAAAAATTATATACAACAGCTTAAATAAACAACTACTGCAGTGTTAAAAAAAAATGCCTGTGATATTTTAAACTTAAAGTAAATAACATTAATTAACAGTAAATAAGATTAATTATGCTTTAAATCAGCTAATATTCCTCAAATAAAGTTTCAGAAAAATATATTTTATATTATTTAGGAGCTATTAGAAATATTTAAATGTTTGTGATTACCATTTATTTAAAATTAAAAAAAAAAATAAAATTGATGCATCTGGAAAAATATTGAAAAATGCTTGTAAACAATCAAATATTGAAGAGTCACAGCCTTGTTGCTGTGTTGTGGGCAGATTTACATTTTACTGGATTAAAAAATAAAAAACGAAACAGCAATGAATTTCAAAAGTTCAGAAATAATTTTTTTTTTTTCATTAACTTTAAAAAACATTCAAGGACCGGGATATGAACAAGTTATGGCAAACAATGTTGAAAACTTGCAATACTTATAATTTCTATTTTTTTTATAAAATGAATATATCAATGAAAAATATCAATTCATTTTTTTTTTTTACTTAACTTGGAATTTTGCTTAATTCCTTCAGCCATTTTTAAATTGTTACTAGGCAAAAAAATATTAAAAATGGTTGCAAAGTGAAGATAAAAGAGAAAATCCAAATATTTCCACCGGGATCATTTAGCTTTTCTGTTTAATTAAAAGAAAGATAAATCATAATCTGTTCATGTGAATTTCTATTTGTCCTGTCAGCATTATTCAACCTTTGGATTAAAAACATTGTTTTATTTAAAATCACCATGAAGTGGATGAGAGAGGTCATTCTTCCTTTAATATTCTTATGCTAATAAAAGCCATAAAATGTTGCAACAGAAGTATTCCTTATTTCTTCCAAAATAAAGAGAAAAAGATAAAATATATACTAAATTTCTTTTTTAAGTCATTGAACCTAAACTACTTGCAATATCTTTCTTTTTATACAAGAATTGGGCACAAGAAAAAAAATCAATAATCATTTAAAAATTGCATGTGTTAAAAATAGTTTTAAAAAAATAAATTAAGCTGCAACAGGTTATAACAGTCTAATATTAAAATGAAGTAGCAGTAAACATGTTATATCTCATATATATTTTATGGAAGAAAAAAAAAGTGAAAGGTCTTTTCAATAATGAACATGCTTCCAATTGTTAAAAAATATGAATATGAAACAAGGGAGTTAAAGTATGTGTATCCATACAAGAATTAAGTAGGAGACAAATTGTGTTAATTATAAAAAAAACGTTCATTTGTAAAAAAAAAAAAAAAAAAAAACATTATGTACTTTTGTTGTTTCCAAGTACAAAAACTGTTTACATGAAAATATTTTTTTATTATTGTCATTAAAAAGATCCCATGATTACTCATTCATTCTTTCAGGTTTTAGTATTTTGTTTCAAAATGTAGGACTATAATTTATAAGTTACTTAAGAAGATATAAATTATAATCCAGCTCATGTCACTCAGTCATTTATGGAAGAAAGTGTTCTCTAAAAAGAAAAGGAAGAATACACACATATAAGTGAAATAAAAATTTGTTTTGGATTAACATAATTTCAAGATAAAAAGCAAGAATATTCTGTTATCCATGGCTACACAAGCTTGTGGCAAATATTTATTGATATTATTTGGTTTGTGTGTATTTTTTATTAGTTGAGAATAATATTGAAATTTGTTCTTGAAGCTGAAAGCAAACTTCATTTTGCTTTTGCAAATCAAACAGTCATCTGAATAAAATATCAAGGTTGATTATCAAATAAAAACACATTTCTCCAATTTCCTCAGTTATATCGATATGGTCACTTTTTTTGGTCTTGTTCAGTAATTGACAAAAAGGAACAATATAGATGATGTCTGTCCAAAGGAAACAATGAGCATTATTAAAAGTCTTTAAGTCTTTCTTCAAAATACAGGAATTAAACCCTGTTTAAGAGACTATTTCACATATATAAATATGCAACTGAATGAATGAGGCAATCTTGATCCTTAATGAAGAATATTTTTTTTCATATTTAAGACTAGAACAAAATAGAAAAAAAAAAAAAAGATGTTCTTAGTAGTTGGAGTTTGACACTGGTCTTTCAAAGAACAACAGCATTTTATAAAAATTATTTTCTTACACAGGAAATTAAAAAACAAAATTTGTGCAAAAAAATACGAAAAAATAATGGCATTCTATAATGTAATATTCATCACAGGTGTTGCATAGGTTTAAGAGACATGCTTTCATTCAAAACATTCCCCCATATCAACAGGTATTCAAATTTTATATACAGGGCATCTAGTGCTGCATATGAATAAAATTTGCCAAAAAACTGGCATGTTATGTCTTTAGGAAAAAAAATTTCAAGATGAATTTTTGTTTTTATCCTGAATGTCAATCAGCATAATGATGTATGGTTTTGGTATTTTTCTGCAATATACTAACATGTGGATATTGTTCAAAAATGAACCCATAAAATCTTTCATTCTACATTCCGTTCTCTTCTTTTCAACAGCCAAAAAAATATTCTAAAGCAATTGACTATTATTAAGAAATTTCCATAAAAGCAGAAATATCTCTAAAATATAAAAAGAATTGCATATTTTTCTTTCTCTCCCCAAACTGTTCATTTGAAAAGCTATTGTAAAACGGATTTAGAATCTTTTTTCAGCTGGAAATTCCAGTATTCCTCTGTCATCATTTCTGTTAGACGTGAAACAGTCCGGCTGAAAGCAAACAATTCTTCTTCTCCCGTAAAGATGCTACTTTTGCCAATATCACTCATCTGAAAAAGATGAAACAGGCATTTAACAAAAAAAAAAAGCAGCCAATCCAAGAATCAACAGGTCATTTTTCAAAAAGATTATTTCCAACAACACAAAATTTATTCAGAATATATAAAACCTCAAGAACATTAAATCTCAACAGTGGAATGTCAGAATTTCTCTCATACAACAAAAATAAATAAATGATTTAATCCATCATGCTGTGGAAAAATGAAATAAAATCAATAAGTTATAAATAATTAAAAAAAGAAAAGAATAAACAGATTTTTCCATGATGCAATAGTAAAGGAACTGGAAACATGATTACCCCACTTGGTTTTGTTAAATGCCACTAAGTAGCGCTGTTGAAGTCTATAAGATAAACATTTCCTTCTCACTATCTTTCTCTCCCATGCTCGAAGATGTAGTACCAAATGGAAATTACATTCCTACTGAAGAATGTCTCTTTTTCCTTTGGTCCACTGATGATAGAACTCTTTCACTTTCCAACGCATAGCATTTGGATATATCTTCAAAAAAAAAAAAAAAAAAAAAAAAAAACTCTACCTATGAAGTAACCTTTTTTTTGATTATTTTAACTCAATGCAAAGCTGACTTGAGCTCAACCATTATAATGATGCTTATCCTTACTTACCTTAATTTCTGAACCCCCCCTCCAAAAAAAAAGAGAAAAGATAAGCAGAACTTATATACACGATGTCCCAAAATAATGTATATACTCTTTGAATCATTATAACTTATTCAATTTATGTATTTTGACTTGGAAATAAGGTTAATACAAGAGAAAGAATATACATTAAAAGAATTTGAGAGTAAAATATACAAAAAACATAGAAAATTAACTTTAATAAGATAAAAGCTTCTTGGGGCAATGGCAGAACGTTCATATAATGATGAGTTCACATCAAGTGTTCAAATTAGTAAGATGTTGAATATAAATAACTTCAGCTGGAATTCAAAGATTTACCAATAGCCCCACATCATACACACACTTCTTTTTTTGCTAATAACCATGATGCCATTTTATATTTGCACCTTCATAAGTGAATATTTCATTTTACATTACTGAAATCTTTCTTCTACCACTGTTCAAAATGAAAAAACTTTAACCAAATTTATTATCTTAAAAAAAAAAAAATACTTACTGCACTGATTCCTAAATCATCCATCAATACATTGTAATCATGCATATCTTTTAAATTCATATCCCCAACTGAAAATAGATCCACAGGTCGGGTTTCAGCAGACATAACTAACTTCACCTACAAACAAAAAAAAAATAAAAAATAAAAAAAATAAAAAAAAAAAATAAAAAAAAATAAATAAAAAATAAAAAAAAGAAGAACCTTTATATGCTATTTTTTAAAACTGGTTGGAAATAGAGAAAAATGAAGTATCCTTAGGCCTGAACAAAAGAATGAGAAGAATCTACCTCTGTAGATAAAATAAAGAGTCCAGTTCAAAACTCCCAACAGACATCTAAAAAAAAAAAAAAAAAAAAAGGCCAGAGGTGACAAAACCAGAAACATTTTTTTTAATCTATTCACATCAAGCAAGGCTATAATGCCACTAAGATACAAGGGGTTACTGAAAGTGAAAGAAAATTAAAAAGACTTTAGAAGGAACCAGAAATCCAATCCTAAACAGGAAACAAGCTATAAACCTCTACTTCTGTTCAAAAAACTGGGAAGACGTGTGAACCAGACAATGGATAAACTTATCTACTTCTGTTACAATAACAACAAAGATTAGGACATTAGTATAAATAATAATAACACCTGAGAAATTTAGACAAAAAAGTTCAATGAAGATGTTGTAGCAAAGGTTTTTAGTTCCCCTGGATTTAGTCATTGAACAAGAAACATGTAATCTTACACTGTTAAAAATTGCAGGACAAATTTTGCTTGGTATTTTTTTTTTATTGAATGAGCAAAAAATTTAGAATAAGTAAAATTTTTTATCATTTCATTTTTTGAACTAAAATTTTCAGCTTTGTTATTTTCTATACATTCCAGCTAAGATTCTTCAGTTTCTGGTCATCTTCTGAAGTAACTTAGTGCTTGTTTACTTTTTCCTTCTAATCTCAACAAGAAATCCTGATTTAAGAAGGCTACTGAATCAAATGCCAGGCAATTTGGAAAAAAACTTGTCTATTCTTGTTAAGAGATTGGTCTTGTGCTGACTTTGATATGGAAGGCTGTAACAACCAAAAATTATTTTAAGCATTGGTTCCTTTATGGTATCAAAATATAAACTTCAGTTGCTTCTCTAAAGAATTCTGCTCAAGTGTAACAGATCAGGACCACAAATTTTGGTCCTTATAAGCAATCATTACTTTTAAACAAATTTGTATAAAAAAAAACAATCTGATTTTAAAAGTTAATACTATTCTTGTACAACAGCTGATTCTACAAAGTAACTATTCTTTGTAAGCAATGTTCATTTTAACTGGAATCCATTGTATATTAGCAGTTTTGCTGCAACATTGTTATAGTATTGTTGCCTGGGTGTGCTGGCCTGTTTTGTTGGAAAAATAGAAAATTTCTATTTACTGAAAATAAATTACTATAAAGACAGTGATGACAATTTTTCATGGGCAGTCATTTTGGTTTCAGATACTCTGCCTTACAGACTAAGCCAAAAACCAACATTTCATGGTATGTGTGTACACACACACACAAAGTAATGTAAGTTTTATAAAGACTCAAATGTCCACAAGTGTTATTTTTGGCAAACTCATATATAGAGTGTCTCAAAAATAAATATATATACATTTTTACAATGTATAGCTCAAGTCAACTTGCTTTCTTTTCAGATTTACACCTTAGCATTACTAATGTCATCCAGGCTTAGCTTTGAGCAAAGGAATTTCATCCTGAAATGCTACTGGAAGTACGAAAATACAGTTGAAGTTCAAATCGAAATGATTGTTGCTTGTGATTCCATTACGTTGCATTTCAAAAATGCTTTATTATAATGGACATCAATTTAAAAAACATGTGATGCCAAAATCTTAAGAACATGCACATATAATAAATACTGTCTTCATATGCATTATTTAAATTAGATATAGTTGGTTCTAGTTGCTTTAATTATTTCTTGAGAAAGTTTCAAAATGTGTATGCATTTTTTTAAATGCCTTGTATACAACTTCCATTATTTTAAGAACTTTCTACCATGCTTCTGAGTTTATTATAACTTCATTCCATAAATGATGCCTTTTCTGAAATTCTTCTATATCAGAGTGAAAAAGAAGTCTACTGGAAAAAAAAATAAGATAACACATTAGGGCAAAATTGGAAATCAGCAACTGAGTGTCTTAAATATTAAAGGCTAAAATAAAATAAAATTTCACTTGATTAAAAACAAAAAGGAAACCATGTCTGTATTTGTAAAAAACACTCACCCTGTTGTCATACAAGGTATCAATGAAAGTAATAAAACGTCTGGCTTCTGTCCTGTTATTCAAAGACATCTTTGGAACCTGCCGTAATAGAATTATGTCAAAATGTCGACAAATTTCTAAATAATCTATGGCACCAAGAGCCTGAAAAGAAGAAAAAGCTGTTGTTAGTGAGAAATTATTTACATTATTATGGCAAAATATACTTTTTTACTAAATTTAGCTTCATCAAGTAGAAGGCAACAAGTCTGAGGCACACGGTGAGGATCAAAGTCATATAATAGTAATCTACAAGATGAGCATTGTTCCATGGTGAGGTTAATGAATGCATAAACATATTTGGCCTTCTTTAAGGAACTTGTCTCATCTTTTTCAATAAATTCTGCAATATTTGTTGAATTATTAATATGAAGGTTTGTTTTGGTTTACTTTGTTTTATGATGTATCAACTTCAATAGGTTATTTAATGCTGACCGATTTTTCGCTTATCCACAACTGGACCAATCAGTAACACTCTTGTTCAAAACTTATTAAATTAAAACAACTTTACAAAAGATATTTAAAAAATTTAAAATATGGAAAGGTCTTTCTTTTAACTTCTTTCAGTTGTTTGTTTATATCAAGTTGTAGAAATAGGCATTATAGTGTTGTTTGAAATACTTAAATAGAGTATTGTCATTATTATTCAGAGGTTTTTCTTTTTATTTCTGTTGATTTTTATCACAACTCAAAAATTGCTTAAATAAACAGATTAGACTAGAAATACAGCATAAGCCTCTGGGAAGATTTAAAATTTATTCTCTTCTCCTTATCATCCTGTCTTATATCAGTACCAGAACCAATTTGCTTAGGTTTTCATTTAATCAGAAAAATTTTCTTGTTCAATATTTTTTTTCAATTATTACTACTTTGCAAAAATAAAATAAAAAGAAATAAACGAATCAAGTGATACTAATTTGTCCTTAACAAATACAAAGGTGGATCAATACATTTGTAGCCTGATATGTTGTTAGTAACTGAAATTACTACTGCAAAATGCTGATTTACTGATGTAACTACATGCAGAATATAATCAAGATGAACCTAATAATTCTAAAAAATAATTAAAATAAATAAACTCATGCTGATTAACCCTGTTCAATGATGAATACTTATTTCAAATCTGGATGGAAATTTCCAACTTACCTTTTCACACATATCTACAAAATTTGTATCCAGCAAACGGCCGCAAGTTTTAGGCAATAGTAGACTTCGACCCAGAATGATAAGCTCTCGAGCTGACACAGCTAAAGAGAGAAAAAAAAGAGGGAATTCAGACACTGAAATGTTCATGACTGACAAGTGGAAAAACTAAAATTAGGCTTTAATCAGTGAATCATTAAGTCCATAAGTGAATCATTAAGTCCATATTCCGACAGTTATTAGCTTAAATTTGAGCTAAAATGTTTACTTTATAATGCTCTAGATGATTATTATTCACCACTGAATCAAGTTCATTGACAAGGAAGGATTATATTGAAAAAAATAAATATTTTGCTGTATATAATAAATGCACCTCCCATCAAGCACTCCCCACAAGATATTAAACAAAAACATAATAAAAATCAGCTACAGTTGCACTGAGAACATGACACAAATAATAAAAAAAGTACAAGAAAACAACCAACAAACCACCCACACAAATCAAACCCACCTGCAGAGCAAAGAATGAACGTCCCCCAAATGGCAATTGCTTACAGAACAATGTAATATACCATTTTTAATAGTCCATGTATTTATTCTGTAAATACAGTATGAAGTCTTATTCTTTTATTCTCTTCTTTCCTTAATACTATTTTTTCTCATATTCTCTAACACTCAATAACCTATTGCATTCCAGAGATTTTATTGCCTTGCTTGAGGTGAAATGATTAAAAAAGAAAAATGGGTTTCACTGTGTATGGTTCCTGACATGTAGTGCATATTGAGGAAGGGGGAGCTTCATTTTTAAACAGGTATAAGTGAATGATATAAGTATGTCCGATGCATAGACTGGTTAGAGTTACCTCATCCGTTCTTATTTTTTGGAAACTTGAGAGTTATTTTCCAGTTGTTGGTTGAATGTGTTTTAGTTTGTTGTTCTTGCATTGGTTCCATGGTTTCTGCCATTTTTTGGTAATAAGTTTGCAGATGGTTAGTTTCAGATCAGTATATGGTATTTTATATGTTTGTATATAGCACTTTTTTGGTTGCTGTGTCAGCCTTTTCATTTCCATGGATGCCAACATGGTATCCAACAGTGAATAATGCTTTTGTTTTTAATCAGAATATAAGTCTTATTCAGTAGTTTTGTGATTAAAGGGTTTGTTGTGACTTTATGGCTCAGTGCCGTGAGTGCAGATTTTGAATCAGAGAAAATAATGAATTTGTGGTCCTTACTGTCTGTTATGGCTGTGACCTCAACACTAAAAATGGATAAATTGTTTGGTAAGCGTCTTGAGAATTCCTTTCCTATAGTTACAGCTGCACATCTGACTTTGTTCCCCTTTTTCCATCCGCCAGTATAAATCGATGGTTAGAATTTTTTCTTAGCATGTAGTGGTATGTATTTTAATTTTGGAGTAATTGGATAAACTCATTAAGTTTTGGTGCTGTTTTTGGTGCAGTTTGGGAAATGGAAGATTCTTGGATTTGTTTTGTATTGATTTGAGCTTCCTCAACAAGATTTTGGATTTGAAGATTGAAAGGTTTGACAATTCTTCTCTTTCCTATCAAAGAGGTTTTTATATTTGGTTTTAAATACACAATTATAGGCTGGATTTGTTGGACATAAGGTTATTTTGGTGTAATCCTGTAAGGTTAACTTTTGTCTTCTTAGTGATAGAGGTGCTTCAGTGTATAGATTCTCGACTGGTGAGGTGTTGAAGTCTTCCAGTGATAGTCTTAGACTTTGGTGGGGTATTATTTTTAAATAGGACTTTCTAGATGACCTATAAATAAAGTCCATGTATTTATTCTGTAAATACAGTATGCAATGTAAAAATTGTCATATAAATTATGCAAAAATGAAAGCAACACTGACATCTCATTTTAACAGATATATTTACCAAGATTGCACAAAAATATCTTGAAATATTAAAGAGTAAATTTATTCAATAAAATTGCCATTGGCATCAACCACAGCCTCCAGACAACTTTGGAATTTCCTGTAACTCTTCTGGATGGTCTTCTTATTTAAGTTGGTGAATACTGTCATAATCCTTGCCTTCAGTCCACCTTTGGTGTTACAAGGAGTTTTGTTGGTCTCTCATTCAACTGCAGCCCATGCATAATAATCAAGAGGGTTGCAGTCTGGAGAGTTAGGTGGCCAGATGTAAATGGTGATGGGGTCACAGAAATTGTCTGACTGCCATGACTGGCTTCTCCTGCTTGTGTGACATGGTGCAGAGTCCTGTTGCCTGTCAGCCACCCTCTTGACCCAGGACAGCACTACCTCAAGGCCCTTGATGTAGGCCTCTATGTTGAGTCTGAGGCTCTGTGGGAAGATGAAGAGACATAACGTCACCATCACTAGTGATCACTCCAAACACCTTTGTAATCACCATTAGACGCATCCAACTCTTTTCCAAATCCTTTGCATTGTCCTCAGATTGACACCCAAAACACTCTGAAATGTTCATACTGGAGCTTCCAGCATGAATGCCAAGCAGTACAGTGTGCTGTTTCCAAATTTCTGGCAGAGTGAATTTTATCATGATGCTCTTCTGCTCACAGACGGTGCCCAACTGACCCTACAATACTGTGCAGTCGACAAAATCAAAAACAAACACCACGCATGCACGAAATTAAAAAATATAAAATGGCGACAATTTACCCATCGCATCCTGTACATGGTTGTAACTACCTTCAGCTGTATTCATGTTTTTAGATTTGTAACAGAAAAGGAAATCATCAACATACAGTGGGCTATCAATGCCAGCTCTGATGCATTTTATGATGTTATTTATTTTGATATTAAAAAGTGTCACTGATCAGATGCTGCCCTGTCAGACTCTCGTCACTTGTTCTCTTGGTTCAGATAATGTGTCTCCAATTTGTATTTTGAAAGTTCTATTGCTCAGGAAGTTGTTTATAAAAGTAGGTAACCTGCCTCTCAATCCATGTTCCTTTAAATCTTTCATGATCCTATTCTTGTGTTTTATTGTAGGCTTTCTTTAGATCAAAGAATATTGCTATAAGATGTTCTCTTTTTTTTATGAAGGCTTCTTGTACAAAGGTCTCTCATCTGATCAAATGGTATATTGTTTTTCCTTTTTCCTGAATCTAGGTTGAATATTTGGTATTATCTAAATACCGTGTTAATCTTCCATCACTCATTCTCTCAAGATTTTTGCAAAATGCAACTAGTAAGAGCAATTGATCTGTAGTTTGTTGGATTTTCTAGATTATTTATATTTTGGTGAATGGGGATTATGGTAGCTTTTTTCCAAAGAGTAGGTATATTACCTGTGATCCATATGTTATTATATATTTCTAGCAGATATTGTAGTGATATTTTGAGTGTTTTAGAAATTAATAATGGGCCACATCTAGCCAAGTGGCTGTATTGTACACTTTGGTTAGCGAATCTTGAAGTTCACTCATAGAAAAAGGTTGGTTGTAGTCTTCAGTATTTTGTGATTGGAATTTTCTTTTCTTCATTTTCTTTAATTATTTAAAACCTCTTATCTATATTTCTGGATGATAATTTCTGTGCAAGGTTTGCTGCAAGAGTGTTGTCTATGTCCTTACTGGTGATTTTTATATTATTTTGTATAATGTGCTTTCATAGAGTGCTATTGTTTTTTGTTATTTTTCTAACCATGTTCTATATTTTATTTTGTTGTTGAGGAAATAAGCTTACTAATAATTATTTCTTCCAACATTCTCTCTTTGAATTCTTTATTATTTTACTGGGTCTTGATTTCATTGGTTTAAAGGTAATTAGATTAGCAGTTGAGGCTTGTTTTTCAATTTACAAAGGGCAGCTTCTCTCATCTGGATAACTTTTTATACGCTGGTCATTGAACCATGGCCTGCTCTGTCTTTTACTAAAGGGACTCATTGGTATGCACTGTTTCATTAGATGTTTTTGTGAAGTAGCCTGCTTGAGCTCTAATATTGCTATTTTGTGTCATTTTTTCCTGGCATGGATCTCTGAATTTTTCCCAGTTTGCTCTATTTAGTTTCCAATGAATGGGGCTTTCCCTTTTTATTTGGGTCTGGATTTTCAAACAAGATTGTAAAGTGGTCATTGCCACATATTTTAATACACTTTCTAAATTCATGTAAGTCATGGCATATACTTAGTTAACAGAGCCAAAGAAAAGGTTCAGGTAAGTTTGGGATTTATTATTGAGAAGACAAATTATTATTGTTAATAAATTCTTCCAGTTTTTTGCTTTTTAGGTCCAGGTTTGTGCAGCCCCATGTAAGGATATGCCTGTTGAAGTACCCAAACAAGAGGAAAGGCTTACATAGTTGTTCCATCAAATTCTAGAGAAAATTTTGGTTTATGAGATCATATGGTGGAATATGAATTGAACATATTATGATTGCTTTATGCAGTGTTGCTTGAATTATAATTGTCTGTCGGTTCATTTTTATTTCCAATCTGCTTTGATTCCTGATGAAGACTAATACATCTCGACTAGCTCAGAGTCCATCATTGTGGGTGTAATATTCTTCATAATTGATTTTTTAATCATTGTTTTTCTTTAGAAAGGTTTTTAAAAGGCAGACAATAAAAGGGTTTAAATCTATAAGTAGTATGTGAAGTTCATTAAAGTTTGGTTTTAATCTTCAGCAGTTCCACTGTATAATTTTATGTATCATTGTGGGAGACAAAGGGTTTGTTTTGTGTTTTGGTCTCTTCAATGTTGTAGTCTTCAATCTCCCTTTTAACAAGCAACTCATATTTATTTTTGTTTTTTGTGAAGTCTTCTATGCTTTTAGGTTCAGTTGTTTTTAAGGAGAATCATCTACATCTTTTTCCTTTTTACCTTCTGTTCTTGTTTTTCTTATGTCTTTTTCTTGAGATGGATGTTGGTAAACTTCCTGTTGAACAGGGTGTCTGGGACGATATTCTTTCTATTGCATTCTTAGTATTGTCTCTAATTGGTGATTTTGGTCTTTTGATAGCAGGTGATACATTTTACAGGTTTCCTCAGTTTTTTTTTCTTATGGTCTTTAGCATTGCCGTTTACTTTTGGGAGTGGAATTTACAGGTGAATCCTCAGTTCTTTCTATCACTGGTCATATCTTTTTG